ATCCGGGCAGCGAGCTTGCTGAACTCTCGCCAGGCCAGGTGGGCCTTGTTCTTCACCCGGTTTGATTTCACACTGTCATACATACCAGGCACAAAGAACGTGAAGGCAGACACACTGTCACAGCTGTACGACACAGAGGAGAGGCCCATAGACAACACCCCCATACTCCCGGCCTCCTGCATTGTGGCGCCGGTAGTGTGGGCGTTGGACGCGGACATAGAGCGGGCGTTACACACTGAGCCATCTCCACCTCAGTGCCCAGCTGGGCTGCAGTACATGCCGTCTATTGTCCGTGATCGTCTTATCTATTGGGCACACACGTCCCCCTCCTCTGGTCACCCAGGCATCGGCCGTACAGTGCGCTGCCTGACCGGGAAGTACTGGTGGCCTACCTTGGCTAAGGACGTGAGGGTGTATGTCTCCTCCTGCTCAGTGTGCGCCCAGAGTAAGGCACCTAGGTACCCTCCAGCGGGTAAGTTACATCCCTTACGAGTTCCAGAATGGCCATGGTCCCACTTATCGATTGACTTCTTAACTGATCTTCCCCTCTCTCAGGGTAACACCACCATCCTGGTTGTTGTGGACCGCTTTTCAAAAGCCTGCCGCCTCCTTCCTCTCCCCGTCTCCCCACAGCCCTGCAAACTGCGGAAGCCCTATTTACTAACGTCTTCCGGCACTACGGGATGCCAGAGGACAGTGTCTGACCGGGGTCCCCAGTTTATGTCTCGGGTCTGGCTCTCGACCCGGAACCTGCCCCTCTGCCTGTCCTGCCAGAAGCTGAGCCCGCGGTTTATGAGGCCATTCAAAGTCCTGAGGAGAGTATACGAGGTTACGTATAGGTTACTACTCCCTCCTGATTACCGTATTAACCCCTCGTTTCACGTGTCTCTCCTCAGGCCGGTGGTGGCTGGTCCGCTCAAGGAGTCTGAGGTGTGGGAGGTCCCTCCGCCCCCTCTGGACATCGAGGGGGCCCCGGCGTACTCCGTCCATTCCATCCTGGATTCGAGGCGTCGGGTGGGGGGCCTTCAGTACCTCGTGGAGTGGGAGGGGTACGGTCCGGAGGAACGGTGCTGGGTCCCGGTGAGGGATGTCCTCGATCCCTCCCTGTTGCGGGATTTCCACAGTCGCCATTCGGCTCGCCCTGCTTTGCGTCCTCCTGGCCGTCCCCGAGGCCGGTGTCGGCGCACTGCTGGAGTTGCGCGTCAAGGGTAGGGTACTGTCACGACTTCCTCCGAAGCTGCTTCCTCTCCTTGTTCAAGCAGGCTTCGGCGTTCGTCGTCACCGGCCTTCTAGCCGCTGCCGCTCCTCATCTCATCATTCCATTTGTTTTGTCTCGTTTTTAAACACACCTGGTTCATATCCCCTCATCAGTACCTGTATAAGTATTCCCTCTGCCCCCCATGTCTTTGTGTGTGATTGTTTATTGTGGAGGTGACGATAGCTCGGTGGAGCTTTCTATATTTGTATCGCTGGGATATTCACCTGTGTGCTCTGTTTTCTCCAGTGCGCCGTTATACCGCACTGTAGTGTTTTACGCATTCCTGCGTACCGCTGTATTTGCCGAATAAACCATTTATTCTGTGATTTACCCTCCTGCGCCTGACTCCGTCCAAATCACCTGCTACACCATTCCAGCTAAACAATGGATATATAAATATATTAATAAAAAATCTGAGAACAGTAATATTTTACACACACATGAAAGTACCCATTAGCAATAATTTCTGAAAAAACACAAATGTGAAAAATTGGTGGATATAGCGTTTTGGAAATAAACTCTTCAATTATTTTGGGGAGTTTGGAGTAAATTATGTCATTGTTTTGCATTCAGAGTCACGAAAACAAATGTACCCACAACTGTTTGGTAAATAATCTAATCTGCATATCTTGGAACATGCACATTTCACAATGCATATGAATAAATGAATCATGTTTACACAGGTAGACTGTGTTACATAATACATAACATACAATATAACAATTCATTAACTTTCACAAAATAACTATACACATAAATACCTGTAAAACAAGGAGATCTTGAACATGACTTTGAGCTATCCCCATGTTCTCTTATTATAGTGCAGTATTCATTAACATGCTCACTGTATGTCAGAGTCAGGCATCACACTCCACCCAAGATACACCCCTATCCTGATTGCTATATCTCTATCTATGCCCTTCAAATAATGCGCTACCCAAGCACGTCTTACTTAATTATCATGCACAAGGTGATATCATAGTTATATGCAAACGAATGTGAGTCTCTAGTTTCCACTCCCCCCTACAATTTGATTATCTGGGAGCTGCCAACCCTAATAAGACAATGATCTCTGTTACAGTGCTGAGTCGCTGACACTGGTACTACATTAGGCACGCCTGCCTGGCCACTTGATATCATTGTGGCGTCTGCAGTCTCCGATGGAGTGAAGCTGTGCTACTCAATAATTCACACTGATTCAATCTCAGACAGTTCCAGTTGACCTACATGTGATCCAAACGATGCTTGATGGGAAAGTTAGGGATTGGAATTAGAGAGGGAGGCAGGTAGCCTAGCGTTTAAGAGTATTGGGCCAGTAACCGAAAGGTCGCTAGTTCGAATCACCGAGCCGACTAGATGAAAAATCTATTGATGTGCCCTTGAGCAAGGCACTGAACCCTAATTGCTACTGTAAGTCGCTTTGGATAAGAGCGTCTGGTAAATGTAGAGAGGGGCCTAACTTAATCTTATGATACAATAGCCATGGAAATAAGATTATAAATAACAGCAGCGTATTTGACGTACAGTGAGGGAAAAAAGTATTTGATCCCCTGCTGATTTTGTACGTTTGCCCACTGACAAAAAATTATCAGTCTATTATTTTAATGGTAGGTTTATTTGAACAGTGAGAGACAGAATAACAACAAAAAAATCCAGAAAAACTAATGTCAAAAATGTTATAAATTGATTTGCATTTTAATGAGGGAAGTAAGTATTTGACCCCCTCTCAATCAGAAAGATTTCTGGCTCCCAGGTGTCTTTTATACAGGTAACGAGCTGAGATTAGGACCAAAGAGCTCTCCAAGGATATCAGGGACAAGATTGTAGACCTACACAAGGCTGGAATGGGCTACAAGACCATCGCCAAGCAGCTTGGTGAGAAGGTGACAACAGTTGGTGCGATTATTCACAAATGGAAGAAACACAAAAGAACTGTCAATCTCCCTCGGCCTGGGGCTCCATGCAAGATCTCACCTCGTGGAGTTGCAATGATCATGAGAACGGTGAGGACTCAGCCCAGAACTACACGGGAGGATCTTGTCAATGATCTCAAGGCAGCTGGGACCATAGTCACCAAGAAACAATTGGTAACACACTACGCCGTGAAGGACTGAAATCCTGCAGCGCCTGCAAGGTTCCCCTGCTCAAGAAAGCACATATACAGGCCCGCCAATGAACATCTGAATGATTCAGAGGAGAACTGGGTGAAAGTGTTGTGGTCAGATGAGACCAAAATCGAGCTCTTTGGTATCAACTCAACTCGCCGTGTTTGGAGGAGGAGGAATGCTGCCTATGACCCCAAGAACACCATTTCCACCGTCAAACATGGAGGTGGAAACATTATGCTTTGGGGGTGTTTTTCTGCTAAGGGGACAGGATAACTTCACCGCATCAAAGGGACGATGGACGGGGCCATGTACCGTCAAATCTTGGGTGAGAACCTCCTTCCCTCAGCCAGGGCATTGAAAATGGGTCATGGATGGGTATTCCAGCATGACAATGACCCAAAACACACGGCCAAGGCAACAAAGGAGTGGCTCAAGAAGAAGCACATTAAGGTCCTGGAGTGGCCTAGCCAGTCTCCAGACCTTAATCCCATAGAAAATCTGTGGAGGGAGCTGAACGTTCTAGTTGCCAAACGTCAGCCTCGAAACCTTAATGACTTGGAATAGATCTGCAAAGAGGAGTGGGACAAAATCCCTCCTGAGATGTGTGCAAACCTGGTGGCCAACTACAACAAACGTCTGACCTCTGTGATTGCATCTACTACAAGACCATGGTGCTTGCCTACGGAGCTGTGAGGGGAACGGCACCTCCTTACCTTCAGGCTCTGATCAGACCCTACACCCAAACGAGGGCACTACGTTCATCCACCTCTGGCCTGCTAGCCCCCCTACCTCTACTGAAGCACAGTTCCCGCTCAGCCCAGTCAAAGCTATTCGCTGCTCTGGCACCCCAATGGTGGAACAAGCTCCCCCACGACGCCAGGACAGCGGAGTCACTGACCACCTTCCCGGAGACACTTGAAACCCTACCTCTTTAAGGAATACCTGGAATAGTATAAAAGTAATCGACCTACCCCTCCCTCCCCCACCCCCCCATAAAAAAAAGAAGGAAAAAAAAGAAAAGTGGTTGTCCCACTGGCTATCATAAGTTGAATGCACCAATTTGTAAGTCGCTCTGGATAAGAGCGTCTGCTAAATGATGTAAATGTAAATGTAATTGCCAACAAGGGTTTTGCCACCAAGTACTGTCATGTTTTGCAGAGGGGTCAAATACTTATTTCCATCATTAAAATGCAAATCAATTTATTTTTGACATGCGTTTTTCTGGATTTTTATGTTGTTATTCTGTCTCTCACTGTTCAAATAAACCTACTATTAAAATTATAGACTGATCATGTCTTTGTCAGTGGGCAAACGTACAAAATCAGCAGGGGATCAAATACTTTTTTCCCTCACTGTACATGGTGCCCCAATCACCTTGACCAGAAAGTGTTTGATAAGTTTAATAAAGGTTGTTATGCACCCGTAGGCACAAAGAGGATAAATAAGTAAGTAATTATGCAGTCACAGTATACACAGTATCCATTCTGGAGTCCTGTTCTACCTGGAGGCGCTGTGTTAAATAAGTTGAATAATTGAACAATTAAATAATCGATTCATTAACTGTTTATTATGCATATGCAAAGTATCCATTCTCGAGTCCCATTCTACCTGGGGCTACTGATAATATACTCACATGTCCTGGCCTTGCCAGTGAGGGCCTCGCTGGAGCCGGTGGTGTAGGAGGCGATGACCCTGACACCGTACTCTGTGCCGCTCATTAGGTTCAGGATCAGCATGGTGTTCACGTCCTCGCCCACAAAGGTCTCCAGAGCAGGTCCCGCAGCTGTGGAGAAGAGAGGGGTTGGTGTGTGTGTGTGTGAGAGAAAGAGCTCACATTCACCACCACACATACTACAGCACACTGCTTGCAGAACTCTTGGGCTACTCTCACCTAAGGAGCATTTAAGACCTTATTGATTTTTTGCAGCTGACCGTGATTGCTAGAATTTCATGAATACTGCATTGTATTAAGAGTGGTGGAGTTTGAGTGTAGTGGGTTGTCAGTCAGAAAACAGCTTTAGACATCATTGTGTGGAATGTTTTAAACATGTTTTGTGTCAAGGCGGTTTTGCCCTCTAGCAGATATATAAATAGAGTGGTAGGAATTTCTCTATTAATAAGCATTTGGTGCTTAGAAGGTGATGAACTGACCAGATCACATGTGAGTGGGATCACAAGCGTAGGAGGTGGCCCAGAAGATCATCCTTTGTAGTTAACACAATATATTGAATGAGGGTTCATGCACTTTCCCACCGTGTGTGTGTGTGTGTGTGTGTATGTGTGTGTGTGTAGGAGTAGTTGTAGTAGTAATAGTAATAGTATTAGTAGTAGTAGTAGTAGTAGTAGTAGTAGTATTAGTAGTACTAGCAGTAGTAGTAGTAGTAGTAATGGTATTAGTAGTAGTATTAGTAATATTAGCATTAGTAGTAGTAGTAGTAGTAGTAGTAGTAGTAGTAGTAGTAGTAGTAGTAGTAGTACTAGCAGCAGCAGCAGTAGTAGTAGTAGTAGTAGTAGTAGTAGTAGTAGTAGTAGTAGTGGTATTAGTAGTAGTAGTAGTATTAGTAGTACTAGCAGTAGTAGTAGTAGTAGTAATAGTATTAGTAGAGTATTAGTAATATTAGCATTAGTAGCAGTAGTGGTAGTAGTAGTAGTAGTAGTAGTAGTAGTAGTAGTAGTAGTAGTAGCAGTAGTAGTAGTAGTAGTAGTCATAGTAGTAGTAGTGGTAGTAGGATAAGAGCGTCTGCTAAATGATGTAAATGTAGTATTAGCAGTAGTAGTAGTAGTAGTAGTAGTAGTAGTAGTAGTAGTAGTAGTAGTAGTAGTAGTAGTAGTAGTATTAGTAGCAGTAGTAGAAATGGTAGTATTAGTATTAGTAGCAGTAGTAGTAATAGTAGTATTAGTAGCAGTACTAGTAATGGTAGTATTAGTATTAGTATCAGTAGTAGTAGTAGTTGTTGTAGTAGTAAAAGGTCAGGTGGAAGAGATGGGTTGTATGATAGATCATTTTAATAAGCAGTATTGATGTGTGTTGTAGGGTTTATGTGGGTTAGATAGGCTATCTTTTGAAATAAGCAGTACTGTGTGTGTGTGAATGTGTGTGTACATACCAGAGATGGGTTTGTAGACGACCCTGTAGCCCATAGTGGGGGATGGGGGCGTGTTCCAGGTGATACGGAAGCGGTTGTACCATTCCTCCGACACTCTCAGGTTCCTAGGAGCAGACAGTGGTACTGCAGGAAGAATGAAAGAGCAAGGGAAAGAGAGAATGAAAGAAGAAATGGATAGAGGGGGAAAAAGTATGGAGACGAGATAGATTAATATAGAGAGGGAATTAGAGGAAAAAAGAAAGACAGACAGACAGACAGACGGACGGACAGACAGACAGACAGACAGAGGGTGGGAGATAAAGGTATAGAGTGAGTGAGTGAGCGATAGACAGAGAGAGAGAACAGAACACACTCAGAAAAAAGGTACATTTTCATCAAGTACAGTAATGAATTGTAGATGAGAAACTCTGTGTACATATGAGTCACTCAGTCTCCTGTCCTAAAAAGAGAAGCACATTGAGAGTTCTTAAATTAAACACGGTACATGTCTGATGGGCTTTTAGATGACTAACTCTGAGTCACAGACTCACAGCATTGGACTGAATTACAACTGTATTCAGTAGTGTTAGCATAATTTGTCCAGACCTGTTCCATACAAAACAAATCATTCACACACACACACACACACACACACACATCCAATATGACATGTTGTTTGAGGGATTAGCCTAATTTTTCATTCTTAAAGGGGACTGTCATTTTCAGAGCAGGGAAAATAATCAGCAACTACTCATGTTAGCATTTGAGGAAGATGAAGAATGTAAATGTGAATTCCATAAAAAAATGTTTGCTAACAATGTGGGTGCCTTAAGCTTCTGACAACCTCCACAGGCAGGATTACCATCTCCTGTCAATCAACAGCTGATTCAAGCCAATGAGAGCTCTCTGATGTAGAGGTGAAGAGCTTCCATTGGATTTTTCAATATGTGTCAATGATATAAAGAGCATGGGTATCTCACCTACGGTGAGGGTTCATGGACTAACTAACTAACTAACTCATTCATTCCCAATGGGCAACACTGGTTGAAATGACATCATTACAACCATTCAACAAGGTTTGCCCAGCTTTACCTGCTGAGTTTACTCCATTATATATCTTTAAAGTTCATATTCCACATGAAAGAAGAATACAGAAGCACAGAGGCTTCCATTGTGCCGAACAGAACGGAACATATATCTCAGAGTCTGAGCCTGTCACTAAAATGTCACCACGGAGAGAAGGTCATGCAGACAGACTTACAGGTACGTCCCATGCGGCTGACACCGGGGCCGTCTCCGTCGGTGTAGACCGGGGTGACCGTCACCTTGTACTCCGTGTCAGACAGCAGTGGCTGCAGCAGGAGGCTGTTCTGACCACCGGGGACCATTTTCTAGAACACAGACACACACACAACTGGCAATCACGATACTAGGACGAGGTTCTGGTATTGTCTGGAGTGGAGGTCGGTTAAGGGACATACTGGGTCAATGTGACTGGTGATTAAATGTATTGGAGTTGTATCAGAGGAACAGATTAAGTTAGTAGGTAGCCGTGCACCAGACCTGTCTGTGCTGTCATGCCAAACAATGACCATAGGAATTGACAATACAGCACAGACTGTCTGGGACCAGGCGAGCTAATAGGAGCTCTGTGATGGCTTTGTTTTTAGTGATAACAGAAAGATTGATTGATCTGATTTCTGTTTTCGCATCTTTTGTTTGCTAAGCAAATCTTCATGTCCTTACGTTATGTGCAATAACGTGTGATAGTGAGTGAATGAACATGCTGTACTGAAGAAAACCATTCAGCAAATGACTGAGTGAATTGAATGATTAAAAGGCCATGAAACAAAATTGAGCAGACAGAGATGAAGTACTGTATTTAGGAGAATCTCTCGTTTAGGGCTTAAAAACCACATATTTTAGGCAATCAATGAATGACAAAAAAGAATACCTCCCAAAAATAGTTAAGAACATGTCAGGTCTGCACTTGAGCAGAAAACTAGAATTTGAATCATACTGGCTCTGGTTATGTATGAATCTCTGTATGCACATAATAAACATTAATTAAACAATGATTTATTCATATCCACATCTAATAGCTGACAGGAATATAGTTTTAAACAGCAATTCATTGCAAAGTCATATAGGCAACACTCATAGAAATCTACATGAAGTGAGTGAGCATTAAACAAATAATGCTAAGCTTGTCTTGCTAAACATGTATGTGTTTTGGGGTACTTTGCCACCAATTTATGTACAATTTTGATTATAAATAGACATTGAATTTGAAATGAAGGTATAGACTACCTAGACACTGATATCAGTAAATGTAATTGGAAAAATAGTAAAACAAGATACTTTTAAACTTTCAGGAGTTAGGCTATAGAAGTTAATTGAGTAATGTATTGAACAACGCCTAACTCGACATGTGAACACTGTGAATTCGTAATGCAGGCTGTCTAATTTCAGAATCCCCTAGAATGTCTGTCATTTCTGGACTGCAGCCACTCCTCCCTCCCCTCTCTCTCTCTCTCCACCACAGTCAACCTCTTTTTCTCTCCGTCTCTGTCTCTCTCTCTCATCCACTCTCCATTCCTCCTCTCATTCCTGTTTGTATTCCGAGCGTGTGCGGTCTAGCCTTTCCTCCATCCAAAAAAGTTTCACAGCCATGACAAGCGGCGAGCGGTGAGCTTGACAAATCAATTTCAGGCAAACGTGATGAAAATAGCAGCTAGTATTTTCGAAGGGGGGGACCGCAGGACGGAGTGCGACCCGAGTGGCCGAGTTCCAATGCCACCGCCGTTGCCAAATTAGATTTTTTTCTATAATGTGGGCGCTCCCTCATAAACTATTTATAATTTGGACGGTTCAATCTAGTTTGGAATGAAGTATCTGTGAAGAATGCAAACTATCAATCCCCTTGACTTTGCTACAGAGTAGGGCTGTGGGTTCCACTCTACTGCTCCTATTTCTGGGCTGGCCTTTAGTGAACAACAAAGGAAGTCTCCTCTGTCTGCGTCTTACCGTCTCCTCGTCACGATCGCCCCTGGCGGTGACATAGGCAATGCGGTACTGACGCACGTTGCGGTCCTGCAGCTCCCAGGACACCTCCATGCTGAAGGTGGTGGGATCACTAAGCAGGAGGTTCCTCACACCCAGATGCACAACTGGGAGAGGGAGGGAGGGAGATGGGTAGAGGGAAGGATAGATGGAGGAAGGGAGGGAGAGAGGGTACAGGAGGTTGGAGGAAGGTAGAAAAAGAGGGTAGTGTGGGTGGAGGGAGGGGGAGAGGGAAAAAGGGAAGCAATGATGAGTTGAGAAAGGGAGGTGGAAAATGGAGAGGATAGAGGCACCAGGTGGCTTTACTATGCAGACATTTACATTTTAGTCATTTAGCAGACGCTCTTATCCAGAGCAACTTACAGTTAGTGATTGCATACATTTTCTTTCATACTGGCCCCCATGGGAAACGAACCCACAACCCTGCTGTTGCAAACGCCATGCTCTACCAACTGAGCTACACGGGAGTATGTGGGTGCATGCATATATTTGAATAAACACAATATTAATAGATTAATGATGCAACAGTGCAGAAAGAGCGGGCACACAAACACAGGGATCCTGATGAGATCATAGCTACATACAGTATGAAGAATTTCACTCCAAAACTCTACATATCCATTTTCAGATATGTTGGTAAATTAGCTTTTATTGTTTAAAGAAATTCTGAAAGAGATTGGTGTATTTTTTCACTATCTAATCATGGCATGGGGTTGTTCAATGACAGACGTATTTAAAATCTGTCACTTAATGGATTAATTTCAGAGACAAATAATTATGTTTTTTTTCAAAATACTATATATCTGCCTCACTCTCAGAGAAATAAGTAGTACTGCTAGGTTTTACATAGTCAAATGTACCAAATAACTTCGTTTCATAAAGAAATGTACAAATGCTACATTTGTGACACCAATAGCAAAACAAAATTACAAAAATAATTATATACAGTAATAGGAGATCTGTATGTAAAACATTGACATTTGACATTTTAGTCATTTAGCAGATTATCTTATCCAGAGCGACTTACTTCATCTTAAGATTGCTAGATGAGAAAACCACATATCACAGTCAAATTTACAGTATACGAACCTTCCATTCCAGCTAAACAATGGATATATAGCGTCTTGCAAAAAAACACATTTTTTAAACCTATGAATAAAAAACCGGAGAAAATTAATATTTTACCTACACATGAAGGTACCCATAAGTAATCATTTCTGATGAAAAAACACAAATGTGATTTTTTGGGGGGGATATAGCGTTTTGGAAATAAACTCTTCATATCATTGATAATGGTGAGTTGCAATTTCAAACCAAGTGAAAAGCACTATATAAATATATTCAACAGGACACGTTGGGGAAATTACTATTAAAAGCTCTCACAAAATTAACTTTATAAAAATCTATACAGTGCATGACCGAAAAAATCTAGTTTACCTGCTGTTGTGGTAGCTCGTGTGGTAGTCGTGGTTGTAGTAGCTTTTGTGGTAGTCGTTGTTCTTGCCACTGAAAAACAGATAAATTGGTCAGGTCAATCAATAAATCAATACATTTATGAATTCAATTTGATTTGTATAGTGAGGATTTCAGAAGAAGAATAAGAGGGGATATACACTACATACAGTACTAGTCAAAAGTTTGGACACACCTACTCATTCAAGGGTTTTTCTTTATTTTTACTATTTTTTACATTGTAGAATAATAGAGAAGACATCAAAACTATGAAATAACACATCATAGTCATCAAATACATGGAATCATGTAGTAACCAACAAAGTGTTAAAAAAATAAAAAAATATTTAATATTTGAGATTCTTCAAATAGCCACCCTTTGCCTTGATGACAGCTTTGCACACTCTTGGCATTCTCTCAACCAGCTTCATGAGGTAGTCACCTGGAATGCATTTCAATTAACAGGTGTGCCTTCTTAAAAGTTAATTTGTGAAATGTCTTTCCTTCTTAATGCGTTTGAGTCAATCAGTTGTGTTGTGACAAGGTAGGTGGGGTATACAGAAGATACCCCTATTTGGTAAAAGACCAAGTCCATATTATGGCAAGAACAGCTCAAATAAGCAAAGAAAAACGACAGTCCATCATTACTTTAAGACATGAAGGTCAGTCAATACTGAACATTTCAAAGTTTAAGTCACAGACACATCTCAACATCAACTGTTCAGAGGGGACTGTGTGAATCAGGCCTTCATGGTCGAATTGCTGCAAAGAAACCACTAGTAAAGGACACCAATAAGAAGAAGAGACCTGCTTGGGCCAAGAAACATGAGCAATGGACATTAGACAGGTGGAAATTTGTCCTTTGGTCTGGAGTCCAAATTTGAGATTTTTGGTTCCAACCGCTGTGTCTTTGTGAGAATTGGTGTGGGTGAACGGATGATCTCCGCATGTGTGGTTCCCACCGTAAAGCATGGAGGAGGAGGTGTTATGGTGTGGGGGTGCTTTGCTGGTGACACTGTCAGTGATTTATTTAGAATTCAAGGCACACTTATCTAGCATGGCTACCAAAGCATTCTGCAGCGATACGCCATCCCATCTGGTTTGGGCTTAGTGGGACTATCATTTGTTTTTCAACAGGACAATGACCCAACACACCTCCAGGCTGTGTAAGGGCTATTTTACCAAGAAGGAGAGTGATGGAGTGCTGCATCAGATGACCTGGCCTCCACAATCACCCAACGTCAACCCAATTGAGATGGTTTGGGATTAGTCGGATGGCAGAGTGAAGGAAAAGCAGCCAACAAGTGCTAAGCATATGTGGGAACTCCTTCAAGACTGTTGGAAAAGCATTCCAGGTGAAGCTGGTTGAGAGAATGCCAAGAGTGTGCAAAGCTGTCATCAAGGCAAAGGGTGGCTATTTGAAGAATCTCAAATATAAAATATATTTTGATTTGTTTAACACTTTTTTGGTTACTACATGATTCCATATGTGTTATTTCATAGTTTTGATGCCTTCACTATTATTCTACAATGTAGAAAATAGTAAAAAGTAAAGAAAAACCCTTGAATGAGTAGGTGTGTCCAAACTTTTGACTGATACTGTATACAAATGTATGTGGACACCCCTTCAAATTAGTGGATTTTGCTATTTCAGCCACACCCGTTGCTGACAGGTGTATAAAATTGAGCACACAGCCATACAATCTCCACAGACAAACATTGGCAGTAGAATGGCCATACTGAAGAGCTCAGTGACTTTCAAAATGGCACCGTCATAGGATGCCACCTTTCCAACAAGTCAGTTCGTCAAATTTCTGCACTGCTAGAGCTGCCCCAGTCAACTGTAAGTGCTGTTATTGTGAAGTGGAAACATCTAGAAGCAACAACGGCTCAGCCGCGAAGTGGTAGGTCACACAAGCTCACAGAATTTGACAGCAGAGTGCTGAAGTGTGTAGTGCGTAAAGATCGTCTGTCCTCGGTTGCACCACTCACTACCGAGTTCCAAACTGCCTCTGGAAGCAAGGTCAGCACAAGAACTGTTCGTCGGGAGCATCATGAAATGGGTTTCCATGGCCGATCAGCTGCACATAAGCATAAGATCACCATGTGCAATGCCAAGTGTTAGCTGGAGTGGTGTAAAGCTCGCCGCCATTGGACTCTGGAGCAGTGGAAACGCATTCTCTGGAGTGATGAATCACGCTTCACCATCTGGCAGTCCGACGGACGAATCTGTGTTTGGCGGATAACAGGAGAACGCTACCTGCCCCAATGCATAGTGCCAACTGTAAAGTTTGGTGGAGGAGGAATAATGGTCTGGGGCTGTTTTTCATGGTTCGGGCTAGGCCCCTTAGTTCCGGTGAAGGGAAATATTAACGCTACAGCATATAATGACATTCTAGACGATTCTGTGCTTCCAACTTTGTGGCAACAGTTTGGGGAAGGCAGTTTCCTGTTTCTGCATGACAATGCCCCCCGAACTTGACTGGCCTGGACAGAGCCCTGACCTCAACCCCATCGGACACCTTTGGGATGAATTGGAACGCTGACTGCGAGCCAGGCCTAGTCACCCAACATTAGTGCCCGACCTCACTAATGCTCTTGTGACTGAATGGAAGCAAGTCCCTGCAGTAATGTTCCAACATCTAGTGGAAAGCCTTCCCAGAAGAGTGGAGGCTTTAATAGCAGCAAAGGGGGGACCAACTCCATATTAATGCCCATGATTTTGAAATGAGATGTTCAATGAGCAGGTGTCCACATACATTTGGTAATGTAGTGTAGTTTAGACTTTAATGTCAATATTTCAGCACAAAGGTGTTTCTCAAGACCAGTCTCAATGAACAATGCACTGTCGCAAACATACAACACATGGGTAAAAAAGCTGTGTACTGGACATGCACGATTTTAACAAATGCATTGAAAGTCACAAGGTGATTCATCGTAACCCGGCTCAAAGCCCCCAAAGAGCAAGCAGTAGCACAGTGGCAACATTAAATCAATACAATAATCAATACAATCCCCAATGTTTAATTAACCCTGATTGGAGTGAAGTTTCCCTTAATTACCTGTTGACTCTGTAAGGGTCACGGCGTCGCTTTCCTCCTCGTTTCTAAAGACAGCAATCAGAGAGACTTCGTACTCAGTGATGGGCCTCAGTCCAGTCAGCAGGTGGCTGTTCATGTTACCATTCACTAGCATCTTCACCATGGAGGGAGAGAGGGAGGGAGGGGGGGAGGGAGGGAGGGAGGGAGGGAGGGAGGGAGGGAGGGAGGGATGGATGGATGGAGGGATGGATGGAGGGAGGGAGGGAGGGAGGGAGGGAGGGGGGAGGGGAGGGAGATGGAAGGAGGGGGGATGTAGTGAGAAGTTGAGTCAATGTCAGATATTTCTGCTGCTACCGAATGCACTTATGGACTGGAATTCTACAGTCACCAAAAGGGCTTCAAAATAGCACTGTAACCCATTCCTGCAGTCAATGACCAAAAGTGCCCTCTGTGGCCTCATGGGTGGAATGTTATTAATCATATTCATAATTTCATAATTTTTTACGACGTAAATTCACTGTTTCTATGTCAAACAGTTTTGTTATATTTCAGTCTTCTGTGATGTATATAAAGTGTAATATTGGGATGCAAACTCAAAATTTAATAAATGTCAACTCTATATCTGACATGGTGCAGCTGTCTTTTTATTTTAAGCCCATAAACGTGTGTGTGAGGTGTATACTTTTGTTTCAAAGTAGATTTGTTTAAGACTACCAAGAATCACTCTGTGTGACCCCGATTTAGCCCACTGCAGTAAAAGGTTAAAACACATAGAAGGTAAGTAACCAATCCATATCTGTATCTAGCATGACTGGCTTTGTGTCAATATTCAATGAGTGCCTGCAAATGTCAATCTTTAAGTGCTCAGGGATGTGATAGAAAGTATGCCAAGCAGTGTGGGAGGTGAGCCAGACACCTTCCAATACAGCATACATAACCTGAGAGAAATCACGTAGCAGAAAATCCGCTAGCCGAGGCAATTCATTTGCAGTCAGAGATTCTTTAGCTGATGTGAGACACTAACTGCACTGACAGACAGACAGAAACACAGACAGACAGAGAACTATCATTTTACATTTACATTTTAGTCATTTAGCAGACGCTCTTATCCAGAGCGACTTACAGTTAGTGAGTGCATACATTTTACTTTTTTTATACTGGAATCGAACCCACAACCCTGGCATTACAAATGCCATGCTCTACCAACTGAGCTACATCCCTGCCGGCCATTCCCTCCCCTACCCTGGACGACGCTGGGCCAATTGTGCGCCGCCCCATGGGTCTCCCGGTCGCGGCCGGCTACGACAGAGCCTGGATTCGAACCAGGATCTCTAGTGGCACAGCTAGCACTGCAATGCAGTGCCTTAGACCACTGCGCCACTCCATTCAACTAACCAACAGACATCAGACACAGACCTCTTTAGTGTCTCCTCCTCTGGTTGGGTTCCAGGTGAGTCTGTAGAGGACCACGTCTTGGGCTGAGTGTTCCCAGGTGACCCTGAAGCTCTCTGTGGAGACTTCACTGCTCCTCAGGTTTAGAGGCTCTGGGACTGTCTCTGGATTAGACACAAAGGGTAAAGAAGCCTCAAAATAATGGAAGGAGAGTTCCACATCACTTTGCCATCCCCCATATGAGTGGTCATTCACAGTCAGCACTCACTTTTAGATACACTTTATCACATGTAAGAAACTGTTCATGACTCAGCGTTTCATCTTCAAATGCAGCTAGATAATTTGGTAGTACTTTCCATTGAAATAGAATGCCCACCCATCACGGAACATTGAATTGACTGGGAATGTCCGTTCTATTAATTATATTTATATGGCACTTTCTACAAGCCACAGCATTTATGGCCTTTTTTGTATAATAAAGGCTGTTGTTGAAAGCCAAGAGCTGCCAATAGCATTGCTTATACGGGTAGAGACAGTCTTACTAGTGGTGAAGCTGTCAGTTAGGGGCTCTGCCTGGCCCTCGTCATAGATAGCAAAGATGGCCACCGTGTACTCCGTCAATGATGTCAGGTTCCTCAGCAACAGGGTGGTGATGCGGCCAACGTCCATCTATGGCCACGGAAGAGAGGTCAGGGTTAACGGTCAGTGTGAGTCCCTCTATGTGACAATAACACATATATACAGTATATATATTTTATTTTATTTATCGCATCTCATAAAGGTGGTATCCTTCCAGTGATGCCTACTTTTCTATACATCAGTCAGCACCAGATTATATATAACACATTATATATTCTATAAGGTTTATATGTTAGCAAGATGCTATTCGTGCAGAAACACAGAACTCTCTTTGTAAAGTTATTTATTTAGGGGGAAAGTCTGCAACATTAACATTTACACAATCTATTCATGGATTTAAAGCCCAGCTACGTTATTGGCCAAGTGCCGTGAGCTCTCACCTCATTGGTCTGCACTCCATCTGTCTTGACGTACATGATGCGGTAGCCATTGGCCTTCTTGGACGTCGCCTCCCAGGTGAGTCTGGCCGAGCTGTGGTCGACGTCGGAGAAGTGCAGGTTCCGCGCCGGGGTCAGGGGTACTGGGAGAAGAGGGGGGCAGAGAACAGGAACACGGGTCAACCCTAATATAGTTATAATTAAACACAATAGCCTGAGTCACCCTCCCGCTGGTGCATGAAGTAAGTGACTCTTTTTGTTTGAGAGTTCCTCTCTGAGGAACAAAAGGGCAGAAGAATGGCCTTTTGAGGACAAAGCACATTCTCTGGCAGAGTTAGAATTTAACAAGGAGCTTTAGGTAGGGCTAGAAGTCCTGCTTACAATTACTCCAGTTTTTTCTTGCTGCGGTTCATTCACCTCAATTTAAATGAGGGTCAGCGTTTAACTTTAGACGCAGGGAGCATGAAAAGGATGCAGTGAAGGTGGACTGGGTTCAGTTGGAAAGGAGGGTTTTAAAGTTTGTCAAGGATCTATTCCTACCATACTGCAATGCTGTCATTCTTAAATGTGACAGATCACTCCAAAATCAGCTTGTCTAATGTTTTCAGATGTCCTAGGTGGTCTAATGTTGAGATGAGTTGAGAACACACAATCTGTTATTTAGATCATGTTACATATCTAAATTCCAAATGAATTGGACATACTACCAGCGTTTTAGACAGTGTTTATCTTTCCCATTATTTTGGGGTTGAGACATATAGGCTGGATCTACACCACATCCAACAAAGTTTTATTTTGGAGTGAACTAAAATGTAAATGTAACTATTCCTTTAAGGCACTATCCTTTCCCTTAAAACAGACTAACTACTTTCTGAATTGTTTTCAAGGCTCTGTATATCTACAACACATGTCGTGACACCGCCCTTATAAATGTTCAAAGAAGGATAATAACACATGAATGTGGCGGTTAGCAAGGTGGTGACTGACAGTTCGTCAATGTCAACACTAAATTGATGCCCCCAAATAGCTCTGAAATGCAGCATTAGCACAAACACCATTGTTTTGGCAGCCTGTTCATTAGGTCTGGTTCTAAAGCTTGCCAGGGCTTGACAGATGCAGACAGAAGTATGCAAATTCACTAGGCCTGATGGCTAACCAAACATCTAAATACCTACAGTAAATATCTCATGCTCAGCCAGTAAATATGCATCCCATCTTCTGATAGCGATTTACAATTATTATGACAGCTTTATCTACTCATGTTTTTACAAGCGCCACAACTGTTTTCTTACTGGTAGCGCAGTGTTGCTGAAATTATTTTCTGTGTGTGCGTATGTCGGTGTGTCTGCTTATTCATAATGTGTGTGAATCTGTGTGTACACGTGCATGCGTACGAGTGTATGAGGCGGTTACTCACGCGTGGTCTCCTGACTGGTCATAGGGTCACTGGCCTCCTCTCCGTACATGGCGTACACGGTCACTGTGTACTCTGTGTCTGGAGTCAGGTTCTCCAGTTCCACTTCATTCACCGTCTCAGCCACTTTCACCTGCACAAACATTCATCAGAGACCTTAGACGACCTTAGACAAGGTGACAGACAGGTACGCAGAGACGTTGGCAAAGGAGCAAGATACATACAGGGGGTTGATAGACAGAATATCAACCATCAAACAAACAAGGGCAAGGCAGCCAGCCAGACGTGATACATGAGGGTGTGAATAAAGTGACTTTTCTTGCCTTTTCCAGAATGAACCATACTGCCTCAGGATTCCATTAGTTTTAGGCTATTCTAGCTAGACGCTGCAGATTTTAACAAAAAAAAACAGATATGCACTTAAAACCTGTCTGGATCAATCGACAACAGCCAATGTAACTTTAAGTGAAAAAAGATACAAGCGCAAAAACCTAAAGCATCACTTTGAGAAAAAGAAAGCGAGAAAAGCCCTATACGGTCTTATGTTGTGCCCCAACAGGCTGAGCAAGCGAAACTGTGAACCTGAACTGATTATTGTGCCTGGAGGGAGTGTTATTTTTTAATGAGCACTAACAGGATGGGTGGAATTTGAGGGGTGGAGGACTTTGCCCTCAATTTCTCTCTCCCTCTCTCTCTCCCTCTCCCCACGCCCCCTTTCACTGTACTAGTTAGAGTGTATTTAAATATTTCCTTGCTTTGAGTCTAAATGCCCTCCCTTGCTACTTCTTTACTTTCCTCTGTATTTAAATTTAGCCACTCCATTTCTTAAATCCTCTTCTCTCTCTCTCCCTCTCCATCTATGCTTTGGATTATATTTATTCTTTACTTTTCTTTCTGACAGACTTTTCTCCTTCTCTCTGTCTTTATTTTACCATCTCATTCCTCTTCTCTCTCATTCTCTCATCCTCCTTTCTCTATCCTCTCCATCCTCCCTTCTCTCTCTTTTTTCTCTCACCTCCTTCTCGTCGGCGGCGTCTCCCTCGGTCAGCGGGGCATAGAGGATCATGTAGCCAGAAGCCCCCTCTGCGACCCTCCAGCGGGCTCTCATGCTATTGTGGGTGATGTCAAACAGCTCCAGGTTGTTCACCATGGGCAGGGCCACTGCAACACACAAGGGTTATACAGGGGTCACATCATAGAATTACTAGAACAGCCATCAACATTCAAGTCAACATTCAGGATTACAATTCTATATCAGTCATATTGAGCGTACCAATGAGGGTGCAGTCAAATTGCTGAGGTCAGAGGGGCTTTTCCCGTTCTAGTAATTTTATTTATATGGGTCACACAGAGGTCACACACAATTCACACAGGGTTCAGACTAGGACATGACTTAGACCAGTAGACCAGGTTTAGCAAAACCCTCCTTATGGAGAGCTCAAATCAAATCAAATCAAATTGGATTCATCACATGCTTTGTAAACAACAGGTGCAGACTAACAGTGAAATGCTTACCTACTGCATATGCAGGTTTTTGCTCCAGCCCTGCTCTGTCTAAGACAGTTGATTCTACTCTAATCAAGGTCCTGACGTGCAGCTGCTTGGTAGAATCAGGGGTTAGCGGTAGGAAGTAGGTTAGGACAGTTACCGTAGCAGTCCATTTCCCCTCTTCATATCACAGAAGCAGCAGGTCCAGGTGCTTGGAGTGCCGGTAGGGAGTGATTGTTCACAGGTGGGAGTGATTACCTAGCTGAGAAGCTGATTGGAAGTAGCTTCCTGACCCGGCAGGGTTTTCCCATTTGTGTCTGAATCATTTTCCTTAGGTTGGCATGCCTTTTTGTTTTTCCTTTTGTAGACTATTATCTTCGTCACCATTTGAACCTAATAACTTGCTTGGGCTGGCCGACTACCGATTCCCAACTGAGCTCTCCCTGGACCCTGGTGAGTAGGCTATGCTGTCTCCACTAGGGACAAAGACATACAACACCCTATTCGCTTACCTCGACTCCGAGAGGTTACAGACTGGTTAGCATGTCCTAGCTGTCCTTGATTGGCCAAAGTTTATATACACTCTTAGAAAAAAAGGTGCTATCTAGAACCTAAAATGGTTCATCATTTTTGGTTCCAGGTAAAACCCTTTTGGGTTCCATGAAGAACCCTTTCCACAGAGGGTTCTACATGGAACCCAAAACCGTTCTACCTGGAGCCAAAAATGGTTATCCTATGGGGACAGCCGAAGAACCCTTTTGGAACCCTTTTTTCTAAGTGTGTAGGTTTGCTAACCAGTATCGTAACATACTATGAGGAGAAGCAAAAGTCAAATTGTAAACAATTAGGCATAATTCACAATTCACACAGCAAAGCAATCTCCATTCCTGTTAACCTGTTTGACCAAGAGTGGCCATAGCCCCTCCCTTAAATTACATGTCTATAGAAATACATAAATGGTCAGCCTAAACGCAATAGGGGCTACTTAAGTGCTCCAAAAGTGAGAGCACTTACAGCATTACTGGATGTTTGGATGTCATAAATTGTCTTCCTTCCCCCTCCATCTGTATGTCAGTCTTGACAGCGGTAGGTTACTCACCATCCCCATTAACTTTGAGACAAGGTCAATTGTGTACTTAGTATTCACAGATATCCAAAGGGGGATTTCAGACCATTCATCAACTTCTAGCCCCCACTAAATTAGATGAGATTCAGTTTTGTAACTAGACTTACATGTGGTGGCACTGCCTCGGAGAGCCTCGCTAGCTGAGCTGGCGTAAATGGCGAACACGGCCACCTGGTACTCAGTCAGGGAGAGGAGGTAGTTGAGCACCACCGTGTCCACTGTGCCCTGCACCACCTTCTCCTCAGGCTGGCCCCCGCTGGCAGGGTAGAACACCACCCGGTATTTCTCCACCGTTCCCGGGGCGTGGGTCCACGACACCCGGAAACTCCTGGCCGTAACCTCCGAGGTCACCAGGTCTCTGGGAGCGGCCATGGTGACTTCTGGGCCTGTGTCGCCTGAGAGAATGTAGCGTGGGAGAAGAAAGAGAGAAAGGATGGTAGGGTGGCAGAGGAAAGTGAAAGGGTTAGAAGATGTAGGGTGGCAGAGGAAAGAAAGGATGAGAGGATGGATTTGTTTGCTTTCCAGTGGATTTGTCCAAAATGACTGAAGTGTCACTATTTAAACACTGTCTGTTCGTACAAAGGAACACTATATGACTAAATGTCTATACAATCCAATGCATTTAACCCGGGTATTCAAAAATAGTATGTGAAATAAGTATTTTACAAATAACCATTCAAATACTCAAATAGAAGTACTGTACTTGTTTTGGACTGTGTATTTGAAAATACTAAAATACACAGAAAACTGATTTTAAATAACAGATACTCAAATACACATGTATTTGAATCCAGGTCTGGATTTAACATTCTCAATTCTCTTTTCTGAATCTACTACTGTACTTGAATCTGTCTCACCTTTGATGGCCTTGTCGAGCTGTTCGACCCGGTCGCAGACGGTCCTGGTCAGACCCTCCACGATGGAGCTCATGACGCTGAAGTCGGCCACGTTGTAGACGTGCGTCTCCTCTGGAGGCGACCCGATGGCCTTCAGCTCTTTCTCATCGGCGTTCTTCACACCTTTACAGAGAGAGAGGGGAGAAAGAGAGAGAGAGAGAGAGAGAAAGAGAGAGAGAGAGAGAGAGAGAGAGAGAGCGAGAGATGTAAACATGTTTCCCATGCCAATAAAGCCCTTTGAATTTAATTGAGAGAGAAAGAGAGAGAGAGAGATGAGTAGAATGAGACATCTCTAGATGACATATCACCACACTGAGCAGGTGTCAGAACAGGTGGCTTCACATTCAAACCAGACTGTATAAATGTTATAGGTGAAAAAATGTCCTCCGTCCGTCAATAGTGTATCTGCATTCAATCTGTTTAACTACAGTAGTATATGAGCATTTAGAGAAAACTAAGATGAGGCTTTGTCTCGTACCAATGGCAAACAGCTCTATTCCCGCCTCTCTCAGACTCCGCGCTGGGGGTTGGACATCATCTTGAGACTTCCCATCTGTGATCAGGATACCAATTTTGGGAACACCGGCCCTGGATCCGGACTCGGGTTTGTAACTGTTCTCAAGGATGTACGTCAATGCAAGACCTAGAGAGAAAAAGATCAGCATACTGTCTAACTCCTGCATACACAGGGGTTCTTGAGGACTGTCACATACAGTATTAGCATATTTGTTGGGTTATTGGGTTGCCTGGCTAAATGTCTAAGATATGGTCAAAATGTAATGGAAAACGGATTGTCAATCAGGTTATCTAATACAATGTGGTAGAATAACATTATGAGCGTAATTTGTGCCGTGTGGGTAATGTGTATTATGTGGAGATCAGTAGTATTACAGAGTACAGAGGAAGAAAGGATTCCTTTCCAGTACCCGTCAGTGTGTTCCCTCCTTTGTAGGGCAGGTTCTTCACAGCGTCGATGACTGCTTCTTTGGTGGTGAAAGTGTTCAGGTGCCACTCAATCCTGGGGTCACCACTGTACTGGGCCAGACCTGTGCAAAGGGAATCAACACTCAGGGTAGCTTCTCTCAACACACAATCACACGCTGTTATTGTACTGATGAGCAGCTAATAATTTATTACCCAGATGAAACACAACAACACAGAATGACAGTATCTGTGACTCGAGTGGGTGGAATAGAAAGGCTATGGCCATCACCATATGGCTAATTGGCTATCACCATCTAATCATGAGCGCTTTAGCAATGCTGCTTTCACATGCTTATAATTATAATGATGATGACAATGATAGGGAAACAACATCACCAATGAGGATGATAAAGAAACCAGTAAAATGGCTGACAGATTGTTTCCTCACCTATCCGGGTCTTGTCAAACTCCACATGGAAGGCGCTAACCAGATTCTCCAGGAACATGCGAACCAGACGGAAGTTTATCCGACCGATACTCCATGATCCGTCCACCAGGATCACAATATCCGCTATGGCCGGGGTCTTACACATGAACTGCTCTGTAAGGGAAAGACATACAGACCAGATATGTTTATACCAACATACTAATGACAAAGCATTAAAACATTAGCCTAGATAAAACACAAGAATATACAACACACCACTGCTGTAGCATAATGGGGAAAGTAAGGTCACTGAAGAGAGTAACTCAAATACTGGTAAACTGAATCAAACATCAAACAATTACAATGTTATCATGATAAAAAATATATATATATATATATATATATATATATATATATATATATTATTTGAAGTGCAGCTTAGGTCCAAAGCATTTGTTTATTCAGTTCAATCCATCTTTCCACAAAATTCCCTGATGGACAATTTAGTTAATAATTCATGCAAAATAATGCTAGTGCTTATGAATACACCAGTCAATGAAGAGAAAATATGTCTTGATTAGGTGACATTTTATTTGAACACTCTATGATCCATAGCTTGTCACATAATAATATATATCATTATGCCTCTTCTCACAATCTGTGCCAATCCATTAAAGTAGAGAGGCCTGTCATTAGACCATAAACAGACATGAGTGAAAGCCATTGAGCCAGAACTCTCTCTCTGTGTGGATTCAGAAGGTTTTTGCAGGATATGCACAAACCTGCATTGAATACTGTATGTCTCTTAAGTTCAGGAAAGAAACTCTGACTTTCACAGTTCAGAAAACTGTCAGACTTTCAGAATCTAAGACATAATTTTCCCAGAATCAAGATATTTTTTTGTACAGTATATTTCTCCTATACCAATTGTTGTGTGTGAGAATTGTAAAATTGGGTGACCAGCAAAGACACAGATAACTGGAATAGGGCAGCAGTTTATTGTTTAAAAGCAAAATACTGTAAAAGTGATCCAGCATTCCATCACCTTTATGGTGGATTACAATGATTGATTTCAGATTCTAAATTAGCTGTAGGTGGTGTGTGCCACTTTTCCGATTGAGCATTCAATGCACACAGCTGCAGTGGCACACAAATTCCGTCTGAGTTGAGAGGACAGATATCTTCTGGATGCTTTGCTCTACCTCTGGGGAGAGAGGAAATATAGTACAGTACATAAAGGCAATGTAGAGATCATCACTTAAACAATATTACAATCAAAAAGGTGTGGTTGCGGTTATCAAATCCATGCAAAACATACACAAATTAAACAGGTGTACATACTATGTTGGTTGGAAAATATATAATATAATTCAATAACCATCTTATCCCTCAGATGTAGAAAAAATACTTGTTTACGCAATCTAGAGTGGAACTGCATTTTTTAAAGAGTCATTTAATTTGCTATTGACAGAAACAGAGTGGTCTATCACTTCCTACAAGTCTGTACAGTCCTGAAATTTCAGTTTCCAAACCAATCAATATCTCAGCATAATAGACCTTAGTAAAGGAAATAAAACAACATCAAATAACTTTACAGTATGAAGTGCTTTATGTGTGTCAACCTCATAAAATAACCTCCCAAAAGACCATTCTGTTTTCTGAACATTTAATTGAAGGGCAGGGCACTATTTTCGAGTGAATGAAAGAGCATTGTCTGAGTGCCTTTAATAGCAGGGCAGCAAACATAGCCAGGTGGATAGATGGTGGGAGAAGGGGAGGGAGAAGTGGGAGAGAGAGAGAGAGAGAGAGAGAGAGAGAGAGATAGAGAGAGAGAGAGGAGAGAGAGAGAGAGAGGAGAGAGAGAGAGAGAGTAGGAGAGAGAGAGAGAAGAGGAGAGAGAGAGAGAGAGAGAGAGAGAGAGAGAGGAGTAGAATGAGACATCTCTAGAAGACCTATCACTACACTGAGCAGGTGTCAGAACAGGTGGCTTCACATTCAAACCAGTTTTCCTAAATACACTATATATAAGAAAGTATGTGGACACCCCTTCAAATTAGTGGATTCGGCTATTTCAGCCACACAAGTTCCTGACAGGTGTATAAAATCGAGCACACAGGCATGCAATCTCTATAGACAAACATTGGCAGTAGAATGGCCTTACTGACGAGCTCAGTGACTTTCAACGTGGCACCGTCATAGGATGCCACCTTTCCAAGAGAGGTATAGGAGGACAGAGGGAGGAGAGAGTGGTAGACACTATACAGACAGAGGGATAGGAGAAGGACACTGAAAGGTAGAGGGGATAGTAAGAATGGAGAAAGAGGGAGGGTTGAAAGGGGGAGGGAGAGATTATATTAGAACATAGCTATTAGTGGAGGACCTCAGGCGCTTGTGGCTCTGACGGGTCACAGGGTCAACAGTCAAGGCCAAGGCGGGGTCAGGTTTAAGGCGACTGCAGTAACGCCTAGGGGGAGATGGAGCCAAGAATTCCCATTCCTCCATGTCAAAGCTGATCCATGCACCGGTCTCTCATCCGCATCCAGATTTATAATGTGTGTAATTTACACACACAGAGGACAGAAGTCACCATCGCTTCAAGCAAAGGGCCTAACATTCCTCTTCAAAAACATGAAAGGGCAAAATAGTTGTGTGCAGCAGCTAGTAGCAGATTCCACACGTGTATGTCCACTAGACAGATAACCTCAAAGGTCTGCTCATTAAACTACAGTATGAACATGGCAGGGTTAAAGTGATTGATTAGTGAAAGCTGTGCATGACAAAAGTGACACGTACGCACACATATACAGTACCAGTCAAAAGTTTGGACACACCTACTCATTCAAGGGTTTTTCTTTATTTTTACTATTTTCTACATTGTAGAATAATAGTGAAGACATCAAAACGATGAAATAACACATGGAATCATGTAGTAACCAAAAGTGTTAAACAAATCAAAATATAGTTTATATTTTAGGTTCTTCAAAGTAGCCACCCTTTGCCTTGATGACTGCTTTGCAAATTTTTGGCATTCTCTCAACCAGCTTCACATGGAATGCTTATCCAACAGTCTTGAAGGAGTTCCCACATATGCTGAGCACTTGTTGGCTGCTTTTCCTTCACTCAGCGGTCCAACTCATCCCAAACCATCTCAATTGGGTTGAGGTCGGGTGATTGTGGAGGCCAGGTCATCTGATGCAGCACTCCATCACTCTCCTTCTTGGTCAAATAGCCCTTACACAGCCTGGAGGTGCGTTGGGTCATTGTCCTGTTGAAAAACAAATGATAGTCCCACTAAGCGCAAACCAGATGGGATAGCGTATCGCTGCAGAATGCTGTGCTAGCCATGCTGGTTAAGTGTGCCTTGAATTCTAAATACATCACAGACAGTGTCACCAGCAAAACACCCCCACACCATCACACCTCCTCCTCCATGCTTCACGGGGGGAACCACACATGTGGAGATCATCCGTTCACCTACTCTGCATCTCACAAAGACACGGCGGTTGGAACAGATTTCCACCGGTCTAATGTCTATTGCTCGTGTTTCTTGGCCCAAGCAAGTCTCTTCTTCTTATTGGTGTCCTTTAGTAGTGTTTTTTTGCAGCAATTCGACCATAAACACCTGATTCACACAGCCTCCTCTGAACAGTTGATGTTGAGATGTGTCTGTTACTTGAACTCTGCGAAGCATTTATTTGGGCTGCAATTTCTGAGGCTGGTAACTCTAATTAACTTATCTCCTGCAGCAGAGGTAACTCTGGGTCTTCCTTTCCTGTGGCGGTCCTCATGAGAGCTAGTTTCATCATAGCGCTTGATGGTTTTTGCGACTGCACTGCACTGAAATGTTCTGTATTGACTGACCTTCATGTCTTAAAGTAATGATGGACTGTCGTTTCTCTTTGCTTATTTGAGCTGTTCTTGCCATAATATGGACTTGGTCTTTTACCAAATAGGCCTATCTTCTGTATACCCCACCTACCTTGTCACAACACAACTGATTGTCTCAAACGCATTAGGAAGGAAATAAATTCCACAAATTAACTTTGAACAAGGCACACCTATTTTTTGAAATGCATTCCAGGTGACTACCTCATGAAGCTGGTTGAGAGAATGCCAAGAGTGTGCAAAGCTGTCATCAAGGCAAAGGGTTGCTACTTTGAAGAATCTAAAATATAACATATATTTTGATTTGTTTAACACTTTTTTGGGTACTACATGATTCCATATGTGTTATTTCATAGTTTTGATGTCTTCACTATTATTCTACAATGTAGAAAATAGTAAAAATAAAGAAAAACCCATGAATGAGTAGTTGTGTCCAAACTTTTGACTGGTACTGTATACACACACATACTTGCTTATTCCTATACAATGAGTGTACAAAACATGTTATTTCCATGACATAGATTGAACAGGTGAATCCAGGTGAAAGCTATGATCCCTTGTTAATGTCAGGGCCGTGTAGAAATGGTGTGGTGTGGAATCAGGTGCAGAAGCAGATTGATAGTCCAATAATCTTTACTGGAAAGTGCGAGGCAATAATCCAAAAACAGCCAGAGGCAAAACGCACACAGGCGTAAAATACAAGCGCGCATAAACAGGCGCGCAAAACTCTTCTCAACCGAGAAGTAAGCAATACAGTAGAGGCGTACCAAACACAGGTACGAAAATGACACCTAACACGAAACAATTACACACAACACTACACTAACAACAAGGAAACTAAATAGGGTGCTTAATAGACATAACACAAGACAGGTGTGGCTAACAGACAAAACTAGTCAAACAGAAAACATAGAGCGGTGGCAGCTAGTACTCCGGAGACGACGACCGGCGAAACCCGCCCGAACAAGGAGGAGGAGCTGCCTCGGCCGAAACCGTGACAGTACCGCCCCCCTGACGCGCGGCTCCAGCCGTGCGCCGACTCCGGCCTCGGGGACGCCCAGGAGGGCGCGGCGCCGGGCGCGTAGGATGACCACGATGGAATTCGGTCATCAGGGACGGATCCAGAATATCCCTCCTCGGCACCCAGCACCGCTCCTCCGGACCGTACCCCTCCCACTCCACGAGATATTGGAGACCCCCCATCCGGCGTCTGGAATCCAGGATGGTCCGAACAGTGTACGCCGGAGCCCCCTCGATCTCCAACGGGGGCGGAGGAGTCTCCTCAATCT